TACACACAGCACATCTGCTGGTGAGGTATGTTTGCAGACCCTCCTGTAAGCCTCCATTTTATTTTTAATGTATTTTTCTTGATTTCAGAGAGGAAAGGAGAGGGAGAGAGAGAGATAGAAACATCAATGATGAGAGAGAATCATTGATTGGCTGCCTCCTGCACGCCCCCTACTGGGGAGCGAGCCCACAACCCCGGGCATGTGCCATGACTGGACATTGAACCCGTGACCTCTCGGTTCCTCTGAGCCACACCCAGCTGGGCCTATTTTATTTTTTAAAAATATGTTTTTATTACCCTAGTCTAGCTGGTTTGGCTCAGTGGATAGAGCATCAGCCCTATCCAGTGAACGGTCCTCGGTTCGATTCCACTCAAGGGGATGTACCTTGGTTGCAGGATCAGAGCGTATGCGGGAGGTCACTAATATCTGTGTCTCTCTCACATTGATGATTCTCTCTCTCTGTCTCTCCCCTCTGAGCCCGCAACCTGGGCACGTGCCCCGACCAGGAATTGAGCCCATGACCTCCTGGTTCATCGGTCGATGCTCAACCACGGAGCCATACTGGCCAGGCCACACCTCCATTTTAAAAAAAAAGGGAAACTGAGGCCCAGAAAGGAAAGAAACTGACCTGGTGAGTCTATGAGTCAGAGATTCCATGTTTCACCTTAACCAAGTGATGGGATTCATCTCCAATAATGTGACGGACCAACATCATGCTACCTTCCGACCCGATACACTGAGAAGGACACCGCATCCTGCTGCCAGAATCTAATCGCAAGGAAATATCAGACAAACCCAAATCTAGGGGTTTCTGTCCTCTTACAAAGGAACTGGCCTGTAATGTTTAAAAACGTCACCTCCGTGAAACACAAAGGAGGCTGAGCCATGGCACCAGGCGTGACCTCAGATCGGATCCTGGACTGGAAAGTAACGTTTTGTTAAAAAGGACAGCTTGGTGCTCGCTGAGGCAGCACATATCCTAAAAAATTGGAACGATATAGAGAAGATTAGCATGGCCCCTGTGCAAGGATGACACACAAATTCGGGAAGCGTTTCATTTTTTTTTTAAATATATTTTATTGATTTTTTTACAGAGAGGAAGGGAGAGGGATAGAGAGTTAGAAACATCGATGAGAGAGAAACATCGATCAGCTGCCTCCCGCACATTCCCCACTGGGGATGTGCCTGCAACCAAGGTACATGCCCTTGACCGGAATCGAACCTGGGACCCTTGAGTCTGCAGGCCGACGCTCTATCCGCTGAGCCAAACCGGTTAGGGCGTGTTTCATATTTTAAGAAAAAAAAAAAGGACAGTTTGGGGCCCTAGCTGGTTTGGCTCAGTGGGTAGAGTGTCAGCCTGTGGACTGATGGGTGCCACTGGGTTCGATTCCGATCAAGGACACATGCCCGGGTTACAGGCTCCATCCCCAGTAGGGGGTGAGCAGGAGGCAGCCAATCGGCGATTCTCTCTCATCATTGATGTTTCTATCGCTCTCTCCCTCTCCCTTCCTCTCTGAAATCAATAAACACATATTTTGAAAAAAGGACAGTTTGGAGACAACTGGTGATTTGACTATATAGACTGAGTTAGATACTAGTGTTGTATCACTGTTAAATGCCCTGCTTTTGATAACTGTGCTGTGAGAGAATGCCCATAAACGTGGAAATACACAAAGGGGAAAAATGTCTGAAACTTACTCTCGGATGGTTGGGGAGGTGGGGAAGAGAGAAAGAGCCAGCGATAAAGCAAACTGGTGAAGTGTTAACAATTGGTGAACCTGGATGAAGTTATACAGAAAGCTTTGTCTTATTCTTGCAACTTTTCTGTAAAGTTAAAATGATTCCAAAAAGGAAAAAAAAATGATTGCAAATTAAAAGTCATGGTTGTGCCGAAACCGGTTTGGCTCAGTGGATAGAGCGTCAGCCTGCGGACTGAAAGGTCCCAGGTTCGATTCCGGTCAAGGGCATGTACCTGGGTTGCGGGCACATCCCCAATAGGAGATGTGCAGGAGGCAGCTGGTCGATGTTTCTCTCTCATCGATGTTTCTAACTCTCTATCTCTCTCCCTTCCTCTCTGTAAAAAATCAATAAAATATATTTAAAAAAATAATAATAAAAAAAATAAATAAATAAAAGTCATGGTTGTAAGGCTTGTGTTTCTGAGAGTATCTAGTCTGTGCTTGCATCTGTGGTCAGTTTGGGGAGTTGGGAGGGTGAATTTGCTGCATCAGACACTGCCTTGAGGTCTGACTAGGACCTTAGGGGGTAGTTAGATTTTGGGGGTGTGGCCGGAGTCTCAGAGGCGTGGTTGGGATGAGAGGCAGGCCGTATCCAAGGTTCAGACCTTGGGGCGTGGCCAAATTCCCGGGGGTGTGGCCAGAGTCTGGGGCAAGGCCTGAGAAATTCTGTTCCCAAGGGAGGAGTTGTCTGTACTTAGAGCGCCCTCTTGCGGCTACCATGAGATCTGACCTGACTTTTTTTAAAAAATATATTTTTATTGATATCAGAGAGGAAGGGAGAGAGAGATAGAAACATCAATGATGAGAGAGAATCCAACCATGACCTCCTGGTTCATAGGTCGATGTTCAACCACTGAGCCACACCAGCCAGAAAGAGCCCGGCCTTTTTAAAAAACAATTTTATAGAGATAATGCATATACCCAGCAATTTAACTATTTAAAGTGTACAATTTGCCCTAACCGGTTTGGCTCAGTGGATAGAGTGTTGGCCTGCGGACTGAAAGGTCCCAGGTTCGATTCCGGTCAAGGGCATGTACCTTGGTTGCGGGCACATCCCCAGTGGGGAGTGTGCAGGAGGCGGCTGATCGATGTTTCTCTCTCATTGATGTTCTGACTCTCTATCCTTCTCCCTTCCTCTCTGTAAAAAATCAATAAAATATATTTTTTTAAAAAAGAAGAGTTATTTTTAAAAATAAATAAAAATAAAGTGTACAATTCAATGGTTTTAGTAAGATCAAGAGTTGTGCGATCATCACCACAATCAATTTTAAAACATTTCTTTACCCAGCCCCCTTCAGCCTCAGGCAACGCCGAATATATTTTCTGTCTCTATAGATTTGCCTATGCTGGACATTTTTACATAATCAAATCATACAACATGTGACTGGCTTCTTTCACTTAGCATCATGTTTTTGAGGTTCATTCGAATTTTAGTATGTTATCAGTAATTCATTGCTTTCAATGGCCAAATAATAGTCCATTGTATGGGTATACTGCATTTACTTTATCCCTTTATCAGTTGAACATTTAGGTGTTTTCACAAATCTTTGCATGGGTATCTGTTTTCTATTCTCTAGGATATCTATACAGAAGAGGCTGGGTCATATGAAAATCCATATTTAACCTTCTGAGGAACTGCCAGACTGTTCTCCAACGCAGTGGCACCGTTTTACAGTCCCACCAGCAGTGTACTGCCCGCAGCCCCTCCACAACTTATTACCATAGCATCCTGGTGGGCGTGAGGTGGAGTCTCGTTGTGGTTTGCATTTGCCTTTCCCTAACGGATAACGATGCTGAGTATCTTTTCCTGTCATCCACTTCTTTTGTATCCACTATGCAACCACATGAACTTTTAACCATGTTGCCATATCTGAGCCAGCTTTTTAAAATGAAAACATTAATGATGTTGTTGAAGTCCCAGTGTATCCTTCTCAGAGTCCATCCTTTTCCTGCTCCATGTCCTGCATTTATTGCTCAGCATCACCGCACATTTTCATACTATCATCATATACAAATGTATCCCCAAATAGTTTATAACACTGGTTTTGCAGGTTTTCAAATTTGGTATAAATGACTAGAGGCTCAGTGCACGAAATGCGTGCACTGGTAGGGTCCCTAGTGGCGGCTGGCTGCCGGCGGAGGCCTCCCTCCCTTCCCCCAGCCGGCCCCACCCCCTGGTCGAACACCTGTATTAACTCCTTGTCAAGGGGACAATTTGCATACTATGCTTTTATTCTATAGGATAACGTACTGTGTTAATTCTTCTGCACTTTTTTTAAAAATATGTTTTATTGATTTTTTACAGAGAGGAAGGAAGAGAGATAGAGAGTTAGAAACATCAATGAGAGAGAAACATCAATCAGCTGCCTCCTGCACATCTCCCACTGGGGATGTGCCCGCAACCCAGGTACATGCCCTTGACCGGAATCGAACCTGGGGCCTTTCAGTCCGCAGGCCGATGCTCTATCCACTGAGCCAAACCGGTTTCGGCTCTTCTGCACTTTTTTGTTTTGTATTAGTTCCCTAGGGCGACTGTAACAAAGGACCACAAACTGAGTGAGTTAAACAACAGAAATTTGTACTCTCACAATTCTGGAGACTCAGAATCCAAAAATCAAGGTGTGGGCAGGGCTATGCTCCCTGTGACGGCTCTGGGGGAGGACCATTCCTGGCCTCTTCCTGGTTCCTGGTGTTTGTCAGCAGCCCTGGCATTCCAGTCTCTGCCTTCGTCATCACGTGGCTTTCCCTGTGAGCGTACCTGTGCCTGTCCCCCATTCCCAGTCATATTGCGTTTGGGGTCCACCCTAATTCAATATGACCTCATCCAAACTTGGTGACACCTGCAAAAACTCTATTTCTAAATAAGGTCACATTCACAGGTTCCAGAAGACATGAATGGGTGGGGTGGGGCACTATTCAACCCAGCACACTCACTCATCATGATGTTTTCACAATTCATGACATTGATATGTGTGTCCACTTCATTCATCCGAACGGCTGTGTGGGAGTTCTTTGTGAGAGCACACCACGATTTATTCATCCTTTCTCCTGGCAGGGGCACCTACCTTGTTTCCAGTTTTCTCCCTTTCCCAGAAGGCTGCAGTTAGCGTCCTGGAACATGTCTCTTAGAGTTTCTTAGTTCAATGTTTTTCAACCTGCCCAGCAAGATCCATTAGTGGGTTGTGAAATCAATTTAGTGGGTTGCAAACAATTTTCCCTTTAATGAAATGGAATTAAATAGAATGAAAGATATTAGAACGCATGCGCACAGTCCGGGTAAGGCTCACTTACCCTGGGTAACTCTTTCAGGTGCACAATGTCCTGATGTGAGCGAAAGTGTTTGCAAGCCACATCTCTTGGCCATGAACTTGCCCTGTCAAAGGTCTGATGGGCCCCACCAAAGTCCTCTCCAATGTCACTTGTCCATTGACACTTCCATCAGCTCCTTGTCAACACTTGGCACAGCCAACAATTTGAATTTTTTGCCCGGCCACCGGGGTTTCACCCTATTTTTTGGGAGGAGGAAACTGAGGCTGACTCAGAGGTCAGCAACGCAAGAAGCTGGGCGGCCGACCTGGCCACCCTGAGAGCAAACACCCAGTCTCCGCTTCGTCTGAGGTGCAGCGTCGAAGATTCCCCAAGTTAATGATTCTCCGTTTCTAAGAGATGGAGGAGGAGGGCTGAGATCATCCTAAACTCTCTCCCCCTCCTTCCACCTCCCAGGGTTTTTGAAAATCCAGTGAGAAAAATGTAGTTTGACACACAGGTCCCGACAGAGAGTGTTCAATAACTGTTAGGCATTAATATTATCCTCTGATTCAAAATTCTCTAAATAGGTGTACATCTGCGACCCGAACCTGGCCTGGCCGTCTGGGGGGGCGTGGCCTGCGGCGGTGGGCGGAGGGACCGCCCGGCCCCACAGCGCCCCTGGTGGCCGCCCGGCGCGCAGCGGGGCTGAGCACCTGGCACAGGCGGCGCAGGTTGGTTGAGAAAACCACGCCCCTCAAGCCCAGCGCCCAGAAGCCTGATTTCCCGCGCTCTAAGAACCCAGCATAGGTCACAATTCTTTCTTTTTTTTTTTTAACA